CTGCTGTTTCTGTAAGTGTTTTTCCTTTAGTATCTTCCAGGTGTCTGCATTATTGTGCGTGTCATGGCATTTCCCTCCACCAGGACATCTTCCAGGTCACTTCCCAGTGAAATCTTTAGATCAGTGGAATCACAGTTGAACATGACCTTGTGTCAGGACTATTCATTTACTGCCTACTTGTTAGAATGGCATCCTTGTCAACCTGCAGAGTGGTGTAGAGCAAGTCCGAATCCCATCTAACCACCTGTTTTCTTGGACCACTTAGTGCCACTTGTATTAGTCTGGGTCCTTTGAGAAATAGATACTAAGATGGCTCACACCTGCAAGGATTTGATTAGGGAAATGCCTGTGAGAAAGGAATGGAGAGCTAGAAAAGGCTGGAAGAGCCATCAAACCGTGATGCAAGTCTGACCCTTAGTGAAGGGGCGAGGGGAGAAGGTTCTCTCCTAGTCTCTGAGGGAGACTGGGCACAGCCATTGGGGGTCCTTGTGTTTCTGTTGTCTCTGCCAGTTTCTCTCAGTTACTTCATTCTAATTTCTTGCTTCTGGCTAACTCTGTGAACCTCCATTTCATGTGGTAGAAGAATTACCGTCTCTGCTATTCAAGAGAGCAGCAACTAGACTGGATATCACAGGCCCACTTTCAAATTCCTAGGGAAGGACTGGCCTGGTTTTGGCTGTGACTAGAATCTAGTTCACAGCTATATGAACCAGGTTGTCTCTAAAGTGAAACATTTCCCAGGAAAGTTGGACAAGCCACAGGTTTAACAGTAATACCTTATATAACCTCTAATAATCCTTGAACATTTGATTAGCAATCTTTGATTTTTTTCCTTAGCACATAGAGTGACTTTGCAGAATGATTTGGATGGGTCACAATTCTTCCAGTGAAGAAATCGAGAGGCATACCTGTCATTGGTGACTGTTTGGGTTAGTTTGTTACATGTTTGTTTTTGTTATTGCAAACCATTTTCAAGAGTAACAACTGACCCAGAATTTTCTCCTATAGCTCTTCCTTGCAGCTCAACTTATTCAAACAGATTAGCCTCAGATAAAATAAAGGCTGTCTGGGAAAAAATACACCAGTTAGAGTACTTCACCCTGAGTCAGAAAGCCATAAAAGTCATTGCTAGGTGACAGAACTTCTGAAAGGAGCTATGCAATCCTTTTTCTAAAATTGTAAAGACAGTAGCCTGTCCTCCCTCTATGTGTATTTTGACAAGTGTGGTAGCTTCAAATAAAGGTATCATGATAGTGAGACATGAAGGCTAGGATTAATTAGTCAGCTGAAATACTGCAACTACAGGCAAAGTGCCCAAGTGAAGACTGTGCAGAATAGAAATATGTACGTAGGACACACGAGGAAGCACCAGGGCCTGTCAGGAGGTAGGGGTACGGGGTGGCGACCGCCACTGGGGCATGAAGGAACAGGGGAGGCAGGGTAAGTAGGTTTAGGATCAGCTGGCTTGAATAATTTCAGCAGGCATGAGCTTTCCCTAGTTGGCTGGTCCCTGGTCCTGTGTGAACAGGCATGGAGATAGTGGCCCTGATAGTGAGAGCTCTGCAGAGAAGGTGGTGGGCTGTGGGCTCTGGACTGGTAAGTGTGCATATGAAAGGCAAGCTGCTATGAGTTGTTTACTAGCTCATGGGATTGGCTAGTCCTGAGGGGCAGTCCCCCAGATCTGAAAGCATCAAAATACAGGGAGCCGAAGACATGCTTCATGCACCTGTATAGAGTTAAGCTTTTCCTTTTGCACTCTGATGCCATCTTAAGCAAGTCTCCAGGTTAGTACTTGCAGCAGGGCTGCCACGGATGCTTGGAGCCTCCCAGTACCTAGCATAATCAGCTGGGCCATGGGAAGGGGATGTCTTACACAGATAAGCCAGGGCCTTTGGCAGGGCTTGGGTGGGTGGCAGAGAAGGGTGCAGTACTTCTGAGAAGGTCAGGAAAGTCCTGTAAGCGTTTTCAAGGCTCCCGGTGTGAAAAACACCCACGCTAGTTCCGCGTATGCCTAATGACAGTATGTCTGATAGCGGGGAAAGCGGAGGAGGCTTTGGGTGTGTGTTGGACATGCTGGTGGGGCCTCTGCATGATATGTGTATAATTAGGGTTCTGTCTATTTGAACAATTGTGGATACAAAGAAATGTGGTGGGCTGGGAGCTGCTGTGCTGGCATGTTTCTGGGCATGTCAAAGGTTAAAAATATGGGGAAAGGGTGACAGTTTATCCTGAATAAATACAAAATAAATGTGGAAAAGGGGAATATTATATACACAGTCAGCATTCAATACCTAAATCTCATGTTTACCCCAGAGTCTTGTAAAACCCTCTTTTGAGAAATTATTTAAAAGCTAATTCATGCCTGGGCTCGTCTCACAAGCCAGCATTACAAGCAGACTGCTGGTGGACTCAGAGCACTATGGTCTGTTCCTTCCTTAGGGTCCATGTGCTCATCTTTGGGTGCTCCCCCTGCCCCACCCCCGCCTGCTCTGTGCTTCCTTATGGACATCATGATTTTTGTTGCTTTCTAGTTTTCATGGAATGAGTCCCTGCTGATCAATTTTCAGTATTTTTTATTGCCACACTTTATGCTTTTATTAGGTTTATTAATGATTTTTTGGTTTATTGTATTATAATTAGTTACCTTTCTAATGTGGCTGTTCTAATTGCTTCTCCAAGAAAGAAGTGGCACTTACAGTAAATCTCACACTTGGGCCCAGAGACTTGCGTGTCTGGAACTTGCATGTTACAGCATTCCCTCCTCCGTGTGCACCTCTCCTCCTGCGTAACTTTACTGTAAATAGAGTTAGCTCTGCTCCATGGTTCAGCTGATCCTCGACCAGTGAACTGTACCTTTTTCCTTCCTGTAATCAGAATAGAATTAACATAAGATATATTAAAGTTAATTTAATCAGCCATAATTTTTGAATGTTACTATATGTCAGGCACTGCTCTAAATGATTATGGGTAGAATAACCTACTTAGTGAGGTAGGTACTGTTACCTCCATTTCACAGGGAGAAAACTGAGGCACAGAGAGGTGATGTGCCCTAGGCAATGCACCTGAGGCAGTAGATGAAATAGTATTTGAATCTGAAAATATGGTCAGTATGTTCAGCCACCACCTTAATGGACATAGGCAGAAATAGTGAAAATATTGGATAATTGAACAGAACTTTTTCTTTCTAGCTGTCACCCACTTTGCCCTCTTCTGCTTTGTTTTCCATACTCCCTCTGCCACAGGGCCCTTGGTGAGCTGGCCCTTCTTCACCCCTCAGATGGTAGTCCGGCCCGCCCACAGCAGGGCCTCCCATGATTCCTCAGAGATGCCAGCACTCCTCTCCCTGCCTCCCCCCCCACACACACACTGCCCATGGTTTCAGAACCCACGGTCCCTTAACCTGTGTGGTTGGATAAATGCCTCACTTCCTCACCAGTATAAAGTTCCACTGGGGACTTTGTTTTCACTCACCATTGGGGCCTCCTCACCTCACACAATGCCGGGTATGTTGCAGGTGCTCAGAGGTACTTACTGGATGCATGAACAAAGGTTATAAAGAAAGGGGAAGAAAAGGGAAGATTGATTATATGCTGACTGCATTCTGGTACAGTATACCATTCCGTTATTGTACCAGGTGGAAATAAGTTTTACTTCAAGTTACAGACAGCCCAATTACAGTGGCTTAAACAGATACGATACTATCTTTCTCACACAACAAGAATTCCAGATTGGCGTTTCAGGCTGGTTTGACTGCTGGCAGGTGTCAGCAAGGTCCTAGACTTTTCTGTGTTTCTGCTCCTGCAAATTGGGCTATATGACAGTCACTGGATTTTCTACTGTGGTATGAGCCATAGATTTGTTGCATGACTAGAAGATTTGATACTCTATATACCTCCCTAAACAAAGAGTTTTGTTTTATTTATAATGTACTATTTGAGGAGAAATGTGAAAGGAATTCCCAGTATAACAGGGAAGACGTTCTGGAAGTGGCTGGTGATCCTTTGCTGTCTGTTTTTATTTAAGTCTAAGATATTAAAGCTGATTGGAAACTGTGTGCTGGGAGAGATTATTGACAGGTGTTACTGTAGAGTGACCTGGTTGGCAATTCAGTGGGAGGATGCCCTGTCCAAAGTTAATGTTTGTAGATCTTTTCGCTTTCCAGGGAAGAATATTCTGGTCTCTTTGGGTGGGGAGTAAAAACCAGGCCCCAGTGCTCTGGAAGCCAAGTGGAGAAGGGAGCTGGGGCATGGGGAGCGTATTTCTTACCATTCAGAATAGACTGATTTAATACTCCTGGCTTCAGTTCCTTGCCTACCCCAACCTTGAGCTATGCCTGGTGTCTCAAGTTCAGATCCTCAAATTCGCCTTTTCTAGACAGTAAAACATGATGGGTGAGGTGGAGGAAGGCCAACCCAAGAAGGGAGAAGGAATTCATGAATGGATTTTTAAAACCCAGTTCTGTTTTCATACCCCTCCTTCCCCCGTTTCATAGATACCTGACATCTCCCATTCCTGAGCTTTGTGGAGGAAAGTAGGTGGGGTTCTGTGGCGCAGGTGAGCTTACTTCCTGCCTCCTTCCACTTGCAGCCTAGGTATCTCTTTTCTGTGTCTTAATTTGGTTAAGCTCTGCCCACAGTTTTAGGGCTCTTGTATCCTGCTCTTAGTACTTGTGGGTTTGCACTTTCTCTCTCTTGTCATTTCAGGGGAGAGGGAGGGAGGGAAGGTAAGAATGAATGAATTCATTCACTTGTCCTTACCTGGAGATCCTGCATATATTATTTTTCTATAAAGTAGAATTGTACTGTACATCTCTCTTTGATCTTTATAAAATTCATTTAAGTTATTCAACATCTGTTGCATATTTAGCTGATTCTCTCATGTAGAAATGACAGGATAATGACAATTCCTGGGAAAGAGATTCACTTTTCAAGGAAATGAAGACTATAGATTTGTTAAAATGTGCAGTGAGCCTTTTTAAAAAATGTCTGTTTACTTTTCAGATTGTGAGCCATGCCTTTAGTGAAGAGGAACATCGAACCCCGGCACCTGTGCCGGGGCGCCCTGCCCGAAGGGATTACTAGTGAACTTGAATGTGTAACCAATAGTACCCTTGCTGCTATCATACGCCAGCTAAGCAGTCTGAGTAAGTCATCTCATTTCTAGAACAACTTTTTTCTGATTACCATTGGCATTTTATTAATTTCAATATTAGCAAATAGATTTCAATTCAATAGTTATGTGCTTGTCCAAAGATGAGACTGCAGCTTTGAGGGAAGGAACTGCCCTTCCTCCCTCCTACATGTCCCAGTGTGAAATTAACTGGCCCTCTCTGGTCTTGTGACACCACGTTTATGTGATGAAGACATAAAGTTAGAATTGATTGATTCACAAATTAGATGAGACCAAATGAGTAGATAAAAAGTAGTGTTACACAGTTTTTAAAAGCTTATTAAAATGAGGATAATTAGTTCTTTTTAACTTTATTGAAGTTAAACTTGGGCAAGATTAACTTTTATTTAAAATACAGTAAATCAAAAACTAGTTAGCACCTGTAATACCTCTGGTACAGAGTAGATGCTCAATAAATATTTGTTTGTTAAATAATATTCCAAATTAATCAAAGATTAAAGCCAAAAAGTCATGAGATTTGCTGATTTTTAACCTACTAAAAGTTAAAATGCAGCTACTGACTTCCAAATTGAAGTCAAATATGATTGTTACATATATACAGTACCATGTACATATTACAGAGGTTATATAAATGCAAGCAAGTACAAGCATAAGGAAAGAAAGACACTGTTATTCTTTGAACATTTATGTGAAATATCCAAGGAATATTCCATGTTTTAAGACTCAAATATGTGTTTGAAAATGCTTTTTCCTTCAAAGCTCTTTGAAGTTGTATTGTTTTTCTCCCTAACTTTTACATTTATATCATCGTCTTATTTTCTCACTTCATCCCACTCCTTTCTGGTTTAGATGGTTTACACTGCATTTTGGGTGACAGGTTTTCACAGTTAAATTTTTCAAAAGCTGTTAATAGCTAGAAAATACTCCATAAAATTTCACATACTGGTAGCCTCAAGCACAGGGAGTGTTTCCTAAAAAACTCAAGTACTTTTTTTATTTTTAAGAAGAAACATTATAGATAGATAAGAATTTTTAAAAAGAATTGTACTGTATTATTACTCATTAATTTTTAATACATCTATAATCATTGGCTAAGTCAAAAGTAACGTGGAAATTACTTAAATGTATTTCACAGCAGTTTTCTTTTTTCTGGAATCTAAAGGAATTACAATTGGTTTTTGGTGGTGGTTGTTGATAAAATGTATACATTTGTATAATTATAGGAAGACACCTTGCAAATTATGAAAGGGTAAAATGTTTCTGTTTGCATTTGTATATTTTTGTAAGAACGCTTTAGTCTCCTGTTTTTATGGCTGAAATATCTATTGGCTAGAGTATAAGTGATGAAAACCCACACAAACTTAAAGTTTTAATAGTTGAGCTGTATCTCATGCTGTAATATTCAATTTACTATTGTTTTAGCCATGTTTCTGGTGCCCACTTGGTTACTGTCTCCTGTAAGTGAAGCTAATCACACAGTATATTTTATTTCACATATTCCACTTGTGGTAGGCAGAATAATAATAGCCCCTCCAAAGATGTCCATGTTTTAACCCTGTGAACGTCGGATGTGCAGATATCCTGTGTGATATGGCAAGGGGAAATTAAGGTTGCTAATCAGCAAACCTTAAGAGAGAGTTGTGATTTGAGAAAGACTCAATTGGCCATGGCTGACTTTGAGATGGAAGAAAAGGACATGAGCCAAGGAATGCAGGCAGCCTCTGGAAACTGGATTCTCCCCTAGAGCCTCTAGAAGGAACACAGCTCTGCCAACACCTTGATTTCAAACTTCTGACCTCTGGAATTGTAAGAACACATTTGTGTTGGTTTGAGCCATTAAATTGGTGGTAATTTGATACAGCAGCCATAGGAAACTAAGGTACCACTCTAGCCTTGGTTATGTTTTGTACACACAATCCACTGTAGCCTCACGTGAGGTTCTGGCCTCAGGGACAATCAGCCTCAGTTAGGCTGCCTCTGAATCTCAATCATGTCTCTACCAGAATCACTTGGGGAGCTTTAAAACAAGAGGCTAGGAATCATTCCAGAGATTGTGATTGGAGTGTGCACCAAAGATAAGGCTTACGAATTAGATCTGTGTATCTGGATTGAAAAGATGAGCTGGATCAGTCATTTTCTCTCAGGAGGTTTGAACTAAGAAACACAGTGAATTGACTAGTTTATTATGGAATCTCCTGCTGAAATGTCATCCAGCGCTAAAGAAATCATGGCGTGGCTTGCAAGCCAAAGTTATGGAGTGGGGCAGAGCTCATGAGAAGACAGAGGAAGCAAGTTGGCGAAGAAAGGCAAAGTAATGTGCAGAGAGAAACTGGAGCTGAACATGAGAGGCCACAGGCCCAACGACGAGGAGAGCACAGCGGGTCCCATTTGAGGAGCATACTTGGGTGTCCTCAGAAAAAAAAACATTTCTACAAGTTCCTCGAATGCATCTGTACTTAAAACCCAAACAGCCTTACAAAAAGGGAAGTCTGGTAATATATATATGCCAAAGAGATAATTTTGGAAAACTTGGGTACTAAGTTATTAATTACTCGTAGAATAGCAAATTATTGATTACCAGTGATTTTTTTTATTAGTGCTTATTCACTCAGTACCCCTCTAGGCGCAACATACAGCAAATAAAGTCAATTTGGTGCCTACTTAGAAGCTAAAGAAAACATATATTTGACATTTGACATCAATTTGGTCATAAAATTGGAAATACATGCAATTATTATGACCTGCCACAAAACTAGCACATAATAAATGACATCTATATTTTGGGTCAATCTCTGTTTTTTATGGGGTTTTTCATCAGTAGAAATATATTATAGGAGATGAGGTAAATTATATACAAAATTTTTGTGTGATCTAAAATTGTTAGGAAGAATAAGAATTTAAAATAATGTCTTTATTTTATTTTATAATTTTGTAATTATTCATCAGATATTTTTAAAGTTTTAGGAATACATGAATCTGTAATTAAAAGTATTTTACTGAGTATTAATTCTTAAAGCATTATCAAAACAGTATCTATATTTTTATTCCTTTGAGTATCTGACCATTATTCAGTAGGTCCACATAAGGATGGTCATCTTGATCTTCTCTTCCCTAACCCTCCCACACCCCCATTTTAAAAAACTTCCAAATACTTTGCTCCCAGGTTAGGGACAGGTGATGTACAATTATCTGAACTTCCTATAAGTGATACAAAGAGAGGCTAGACTTTGTCTAAAATGCCATTTTCAGGGAATTTTAAGGATTTGCCTTGACCCTAGACTGGTCATAGCTGCCTGAGCAGCAGACTTGCCCTGGGGGACTTCCAGAGTAACTATTCTCAGTAGGGCGGGGCCATGTAGGGAAAGCAGAGCAGACCAGGAGTCCAGAATGAATTTCTTTGACCTTTTTCAAAAAGGAAGACCAGCAATTGAGGCCCTGATTCACCAGATCATTCTGCGTCTCATCATATCTCTGGGTGTAGTAGTATAAATGATGTATAAAGCAAGAAAAGAATCTGGTGATACCAAATAGACCTCTGCACCCTCCACAGCTCCACATAGCTTTTGGGAAATCTGTAGGTTTATTACCAGTTGTCATGTTCACATCACATCCAAGCTAAATACTTGACTTTAAAAGGCCAAAACTTTTGTCAGCACTAGATTTTTACCAGGATTTGAAGCCTTCACAATGAGAAAATATTAATTATTGGTATTGAGTTTAAGAATAATTATAGAAAAGGAGGAGGAAATTTGTAATTGAATAGCCTTATAGTTAAACAAAAAGGATCAAAAACTTTCAAAGCTTTGTCCAATGGAAAATAAATTAGTCTTTAGTAATTTTCAGATTTTTTTTTCTTTTGAGTGTAACTAACTTCTAATATGAATGATCGGGGGTCAGTTAGAAGGGGAAGGAAAGCCACTTTTAACAACAATCTTGGTTAGTAGTGTGTAAAAAACATCCTTGGTTTTCTAGCTATGGAATATTGATATTTTTTCTTCAAATAATGACAGTTTAGTGTAGCAGTTAACATTAAATCAGTAGTGCTTTTTTAAAAAATCAATTTCTTTGATTAATAATCTGAATGCTTTTGTTCCTATCACTTGGAACAGTTAGCTCAATTAAAATTATAGCATCTTGCAATCAAGTTCCTATTGATATTATAATGTAATTTTAATATAATTTGCTTAAAAAAGGAAATGGGGACATAGGGCATTTGTGCCAAGGAATAGCACAAGTTCTTTTTAATATCCCATAGGTTGTATTTTACTCCTTTCCTCTTAGTTCATCATAATAGCTGTCTTCCTTTTTCCTTTTAAGAAGGCCGGCCCCCAAAATATTACAAAGAAAGGAGTTAAACTTTAGTGTATCCCAAGGTTTTGGGTTATATTTAATGGTACTAATAAGACAATATATAGAGCCCTGGCCAGTGTGGCTCAGTTGGTTGAGCGCTGTCCTGTGTACCAAGGGGTCCCTGGTTCAGTTCCCAGTCAGGGCATATGCCTGGGGTGCAGGCTTGATCCCTGGTGCGGGGCATGCAGGAGGCAGCCGATCGATGATTCTCTCACTCATCGATGTTTCTCTCTCACTTTCTCTTTCTTCTCTGTCTAAAATCAATAACAACATATTTTTTAAAAAGATAATCTTGAGAACTTAGCACAGGAAAACAAAGAGAAAATTATAAAATTTTCATTAATTAGAGAAAATCACTGACAATCCTTTGTGTATATCTTTATAAAAGTGGTATTTCATTATACATATGGTTTTGTAGCCTATACTCACTTATATAGTAAACATCTTTGTTGATTCATCTGACACATTTTTAGAGTTTATAGTATTATATTTATATGTCATAATTATTTAATCATTTTTCTACTGTTGGACGTACATATTGTTTCTTTATTGGGGGACACTATCATCAGTTTTTGTAGCATGTCGCTATATACATCTGGTTATTTTGGGCATCCTTTTTTTTTTTAAGATGTCTTATGTCTTACAAGTCATCAAACTTCCTCA